GTGAGCCAAGATCGCGCCACTGCGCTCCAGCCTGGGCAACAGAGCGACGCTCTATCACAAATAATAATAAAATAAAATAATTTAAAAAAGTTTAAAAGGCAGCCCTAAAACCCAATTATAGGGTAGACATATCACTGATGAGAGTGATACTTCTTTCCGCTCCAGATCACGAAGGAACTCTCAGGACAAAAGAAGAGGATTGCCGTTTAAATGGTCCTCAAAAACAGGACTTGGGTGCTGCCTTACCAGGGAAGGAGAGAAAGATTTTATCAGCTCGAAGAGACACCTTCCAGTCTCCAAGTCTCCAAGAAACAGAGATTCCAAATAAAAAAGTCAGCATCACAGCATCTGATCCAGACAAGAAAGACCTGCGGCACAAGCCTCGGGAGACCCCAGGGCGCTTAGAAATTCCCACAGGGCCAAGATGCTATTCCTGCTATGTCTGTAGGAAAGTCTTCCAAGTAAGGAGGGATTTGCTAAAGCACAAACGGAGCCACTCCAAGAGCCAGCTCCGCAGATATCCTAAGTACAGAAACACGTCCAGAGGGAAGTCCGAACTCAGGCGGACGCAGAGGCTCCTGTGTCAGAAGAAGCGGTTCCAGTGCAGTGAGTGTGAGAAGAGCTACTTCCTGAAGGGCAGCCTCGTCACTCATCAGGTTGTCCACACCGGCCAGCGGCCCTACCCGTGCCCTGAGTGCGACAAGACCTTCCGGTACAGGGCCAACCTGAAGAAGCACCTGTGTCTGCACCGCGGGGAGCGGCCGTTCTGCTGCGGGGAGTGCGGCCGGGCCTTCGTGCAGCAGTGCGAGCTCACGGAGCACCTGCGGCTGCACAGCGGAGAGAAGCCCTTCCAGTGTCCGCAGTGTGACCGGTGCTTCCGCCTGAAGAGGGGCATGAAGGTCCATCTGTCCCAGCACAGCGGGAAGAGGCCCTTCCACTGTCCCGAGTGTGGCCGGAGCTTCTCCCGGAAGGCTGCCCTGAAGACCCACCAGAGGACGCACAGCGAGGAAAAGCCGTTTTCTTGTGCTGAATGCGGCAGGAAATTCATCTACAAGATTAAGCTGGACGAGCACATCAGAGTTCACACGGGAGAGAAGCCCTTTTCGTGTCCCGAGTGTAACAAAAGTTTCCGCCTCAAGAGAAGCCTGAAAGCCCACGGGCTGCAGCACAGCGGGAAGAGGCCTTTCCAGTGCCCGGAGTGCAGCAGGGGCTTCTTCTGGAGGAACGCCATGCGCGCCCACCAGCGCCTGCACAGCGAGCAGAAGCCCTTCCCCTGCGCCGAGTGCGGCAAGCGCTTCACGCGGCCCTCCAAGCTCGCCTGCCACACCAGAGTCCACGACAGGCAGAAGGAGTTTCCCTGTGGTGAGTGCAAAAAGACCTTTTCTCAGCAGTCGCGGCTCACGCAGCACCTGAAGGTCCACACCACGGAAAAGCCGTTCTCCTGCGCCGAGTGCGGCCGCAGTTTCCGCCGGCGAGCGCATCTCACAGAGCACACGAGGCTTCACAGCGGCGAGGAGCCCTTCCAGTGTCCCGAGTGCGACAAGAGCTTCTCCTGGAAGGCCTCCATGAAGTTCCACCAGCGGATGCACAGGGACGAGAAGCCCTTCGCGTGCAGTGAGTGCGGCAAGACCTACACGCATCAGTCTCAGCTCACCGAGCACCTGAGGCTGCACAGCGGCGAGAAGCCCTACCAGTGTCCTGAATGCCAGAAGACGTTCCGCCTCAAGGGAAATCTGAAAAGCCACCTGCTGCAGCACAGTGGTCAAAAGCCGTTCTCTTGTGTGATGTGTGGCAAAAGTTTCACTCAGCAGTACCGGCTCACAGAACACATTCGAGTCCACAGCGGGGAGAAGCCCTTCCAGTGTCCGGAGTGTGACAAGAGCTACTGCATCAGGGGCAGCTTGAAGGTCCACTTGTATACGCACAGTGGAGAGAGGCCCTTCCAGTGTCCTGAGTGTGGCAAAGGCTTCCTCCAGAAGAGAAGCCTGAAGGCCCATCTGTGCCTTCACAGTGGGGAGAGGCCTTTTTCTTGTGATGAGTGTGGAAGGAGCTTCACGTACGTGGGGGCGCTCAAGACCCACATTGCGGTGCATGCCAAGGAGAAGCCCTCCAGCCTCTAGGTCAGGCCATGCGGTAGTCAGGCAACCACAGCTTTCAGGTGGTGCCAGCAGCTCTGTTGGCTCGAGCTGAGGCAGGTTGAAGGATTCACAGGGTAAGATGGGCCACAGTGGCTCCCGCCTGTAATCCCAGCACTTTGGGAGGCCCAGGGGGGAGGATCGCTTGAGCCCAGGAGTTTGAGACCAGCCTGGGCAACATTGCAAGATTCCCTCTCTACAAAAAATACGAAAGTCAGCCAGGTGTCATGGTGCATGCTTGTGGTCCCAGCTACTTTGGGAGGCCGAGGCAGGAGGATCGCTTGAGCCCAGGAGGTAGAGGCTGCAGTGAGCCATGCTCACACCACTGCACTGTAGCCTGGGTGACACAGCAAGACCTTGTCTCACA